CAGCAGGAGACATCCAACTTAGGTCCTGGAACTGCACAATCCAAATTACATGTTTCACAAATTCCCCCTATGGCAGTTAAAGCTCCCCATCAGGTTCCTGTGCAACCTGAGAAAAGTCGTCCAGGTCCATCCTTACAAATTCAGGATATGAAAGGAACTAATCGGGATCCCCGTCTTAATAGGTTGAGTCAGCATTCTTCTCATGGAAAAGATCAGAGTCACAGGAAGGAATTCCTAATGAACACATTGAACCAGTCTGATATTAAGACAAGTAAAACTGTACCCTCTGAAAAACTAAATTCATCCAAGCAAGAAAAAAGTAAATCAGGTGAAAAAATAACCAAGAAAGAACTTGACCAATTAGATTCTAAATCCAAATCTAAATCTAAATCACCATCACCTTTGAAAAACAAATTATCCCACACAAAAGACTTGAAAAGTCAAGAATCTGAAAGTGCAAGGGTGTCTGATATGAGCAAGAGAGATCCAAGATTAAAAAGACATCTTCAGGATAAGACTGATAGCAAAGATGATGATCTAAAAGAGAAGAGAAAAACTGCAGAAAAAAAGGATAAAGATGAGCACATGAAATCATCTGAACACAGACTGGTGGGAAGTAGAAATAAAATCATAAATGGCATTGTACAAAAACAGGATAGCATAACGGAAGAATCGGAAAAACAGGGGACAAAACCAGGGAGATCGAGTACTAGAAAGCGATCAAGATCACGATCACCCAAGTCTCGGTCACCGATTATACATTCTCCCAAGAGAAGAGATAGGCGGTCACCCAAACGAAGGCAAAGGAGTATGTCTCCATCCTCAACACCCAAAGCTGGGAAGATTCGCCAGTCAGGAGTTAAGCAGTCACATATGGAAGAGTTTACACCACCTTCCAGGGAAGAAAGAAATGCCAAGAGAAGTACTAAACAGGATGTTCGAGATCCAAGGCGAATAAAAAAGACTGAAGAGGAACGACCACAAGAAACTGCAAATCAGCATTCCACCAAGTCAGGCACTGAACCAAAGGAAAATGTAGAAAATTGGCAAAGTTCCAAGTCTACCAAAAGATGGAAATCTGGTTGGGAAGAAAATAAAAGGTAGGTTGTTAACATTTTTAATTGAGTAGAATAATGTGTACATTTAAAAATACAGTGTTGGAAAAAAAAAATACAGTGTTGATTTAAAAATTGGATAATGTTTATTGGGTACTTAACCCTGTGGGTTAAGTACCATTATTATTGCTGTTTTATGTATAAGGAAACTGAAGTTTAGAAAGGATAACTAATCTGCCTAAGGACATGCAAGAATCAGAGTTCATATCTGATTTTCCTGACTTCAAATCCTGTGCTCTTAATCTTTAAATTAACTTTTATGGTTACATATATTCATTTTAGCCAGATCCTATTAAGGATCTTAAAATATGGTCCTGAGTATTTAAAAATTTTTTATGAAGTAACATAATTGCTTTTATGGTTTCAGTTTACAACAGGGTGATGAACATAGCAAAGCTCCTCATCTAAGGCATAGGGAGAGCTGGTCAAGCACTAAAGGAATCTTGTCACCTCGAGCTCCAAAACAACAGCATCGATTAAGCGTAGATGCCAATCTTCAGATTCCTAAAGAGTTAACTCTTGCAAGCAAAAGAGAATTACTTCAAAAGGTAGCTACTGTGTTCCCATGTAGTCATTATTCTCCTTTTGTCTATAAATTTTTTTGTAAGTACTTTTTATATTTAAAACATTGATTTCCTTTTATCACCCCTGTGCAGACGAGTGAACGTTTAGCATCTGGTGAAATTACACAGGATGAGTTCCTTGTTGTTGTGCATCAAATTCGACAGCTATTTCAGTATCAAGAAGGTAAACATAGATGCAATGTACGGGATAGTCCTACAGAAGAAAATAAAGGTGGATTAAAAAAGAAACCTCTCTTAACTGATGCTGAATTAACCTACTATGAACATAAAGCAAAACTGAAAAGGACACAGGTTCAGCATTCATTTCCAAGACTTGATCTCTTAGATCCTGATATTTTTGACTACCCTTTGACTGATGCCTTGTTGTCTGGAATAGAATGTGAGCCATCCAAAAGTAAACATGCAAGTAGGAATAGTGGAGCACAGTTTGACAGAAAAGAACAATTTAGTGAAAGAGCAAGACGTCTTTCTCCTATATCTGGGAGTCGTACTTATGCTGAGAATCTTTCACCCCATGAGGGCCGGAGAAGACATGACGAGCAAGTCTCTGCTAAAGGTAGAAAAAGTTAAATCAGATTATGCCTATTGAATCACACAGCAGTGAAGGGAAAATGAACAAGCTAAGTGGGGATGGATTTTTGTGACTGTTCAGACTTCTGTTTTGTCGTTGTTTGTTTCGGTTTTTCCCTCAAAGGGAAGGGAAGGGAGCTGATATTTATAAGGCCAACCGTGTATTAGGTACTTTACTAGGTTCTTTATATATGTAATCTGATTTAATCCTCACAATGACCTAATGAAATATGTATTATCCCCATTTTACAGATAGGAAACAAGGCCGGAGAGGTTAAATAAGTTGCTCTCAAAGTCAAATAATTAGTAAATTGACTGAATGGGTATTTTTTTTACCCAGGTGTATCTGACTCTAGAGGGCATTTTCTTACCTGCTGCTTGTTGCTGTCTTTTTCCCTCCCCTCTCATAAAGTGAGATAGTTTTGGATGTTTTTGAATAAACATTTACAAGAATATACGAAGAAGATTTTAGGATAATTTGATATAAATTATCAGATTCAGGGAAAATAAATTTTTTTTTCTTTTTAAAAGGTGTACGAGAAGAGCAGAGATCACCATTCAATGATCGTTTTCCACTTAAGCGACCTAGATATGAAGATTCAGATAAACCATTTGTAGATAGCCCAGCATCAAGATTCGCCGGCCTTGATACAAATCAGCGACTTACGGCTTTAGCTGAAGATAGACCATTATACGATGGACCTAGCAGGCCATCAGTAGCGAGAGATGGCCCAACCAAGATGATTTTTGAAGGACCTAATAAGTTAAGCCCTAGAATTGATGGACCTCCTACGCCAGGTTCTCTTCGGTTTGATGGGTCACCGGGACAAATGGGGGGAGGTGGCCCTTTGAGATTTGAAGGGCCACAAGGCCAGTTAGGAGGTGGGTGTCCTTTGAGATTTGAAGGTCCTCCAGGACCAGTAGGGACACCTCTGCGGTTTGAGGGGCCGATTGGTCAAGCAGGAGGAGGTGGTTTTCGGTTTGAAGGTTCCCCCGGTCTGAGGTTTGAGGGATCTGCAGGTGGTTTGCGATTTGAAGGACCAGGGGCCCAGCCTGTGGGTAGTCTCAGGTTTGAGGGACACCGGGGTCAACCTGTGGGTGGTCTGAGGTTTGAGGGACCTCATGGTCAGCCTGTGGGTGGACTTAGATTTGATAATCCCCGAGGTCAGCCTGTAGGTGGACTTAGATTTGAGGGAGGTCATGGTCCATCAGGGGCTGCAATTAGGTTTGACGGACCTCATGGTCAGCCATCAGGTGGGATCAGATTTGAGGGCCCATTGCTACAGCAGGGAGTTGGGATGAGATTTGAGGGCCCCCATGGTCAGTCAGTAGCTGGTATGAGATTTGAAGGACAACATAATCAACTTGGTGGGAGCGTTAGGTTTGAGGGTCCACACAGTCAGCCAGGGGTTGGGATCAGGTTTGAAGGACCTTTAGTCCAACAAGGAGGTGGAATGAGGTTTGAGGGTCCTTCTGTACCAGGAGGCGGCCTGAGAATCGAAGGACCTTTGGGTCAAGGTGGTCCAAGATTTGAAGGTTGTCATGCTTTAAGGTTTGATGGGCAGCCAGGTCAGCCATCACTCTTGCCAAGATTTGATGGATTACATGGTCAGCCAGGTCCTAGATTTGAAAGAACTGGTCAGCCAGGCCCACAGAGATTTGATGGACCACCTGGACAGCAGGTTCAACCAAGATTTGATGGTGTACCTCAAAGATTTGATGGTCCACAACACCAGCAAGCATCAAGGTTTGATATTCCTCTTGGTCTTCAAGGCACACGATTTGACAATCATCCTTCACAAAGGCTTGAATCGGTATCTTTCAATCAGAGTGGCCCATATAATGATCCACCTGGCAGTGCTTTTAATGCCCCATCCCAAGGACTGCAGTTCCAAAGACATGAACAAATATTTGATTCACCTCAAGGACCAAATTTTAATGGACCACATGGCCCTGGAAACCAGAGTTTCTCGAATCCCCTTAACAGAGCTTCTGGACACTATTTTGATGAGAAGAATCTTCAGAGCTCTCAGTTTGGAAACTTTGGCAATTTACCTGCTCCAATAACAGTAGGAAATATTCAGGCATCTCAGCAGGTAAGTCTGTTACAGTTATTCTAAAAGTATATTGTATGCAGACATGAACCATTTTTAATGTTTCTAGTGTTTGAGGAAGGTTTTCAGAATATAGTTTATTCTATAGGTTGGAAAGGATTTTTTAAAATTTAATTTTTTTAGTATTTTCTGGGGGGGGGGGCAGTTTTTAATGTACTTCAAAACCCCACCTGCTAGGAAAGTGAGATGAGAGTCTTCTGGGGCTGAAATTTGCAGTTTAAATCCAAAATTGATCTTAGTTCTTTCAGGATCTAGAGAACCCTCTCAATCTCAATTCCCCCCCGCCCCCCACAAATATTTTCTTTTTTAATAGACTTTATTTTTTTTTTTTTTTTTTTTTTTGTAGAAGTAGAAATACAGAGACAGATCTGAATTTGAGAGAGAAATCAATAAAATCTGGCTGTTGCTTGAATGTTGGAAGTGAGGAAGAAGAAAGAGTCTACGATAATTTCAGGTTTCTGGTTTGAATAACTGGGTGATGGTGGCACCATTAATCAAGATAGAGGAAAGTGGAAGGGAAGCAAGGTGGGGGAAGGATGGAAATCTATCTCTGGGCCCATGTAGAGTAAATGTGTCTAAAGGAGATATGAGTGTATATGTTCAGTAGACACTTAGTGAAGTGTGGCACTCAAGTGGTTAGTCAGGATTTGAGATACAGATTCAGAATTTGTTGGTATAAACATGATAGTGAAGCTGTAGGAACAGCTCCTGCTAAAGCAGAATAGATTAAGAAGAGAAAATGGTATAGAATAAATCTGTGAGTATTACTCATAGCCCCCCTTACCCTGGATTCATCCCATTAATCTGTAGTTAATGTCAGGGAAGGTGGGGTTCAAACAATGTCATTGCTTTGAAAATACCATTACCTGGGAAAGGAGGAAACACCACTTGGGATTCTTGTGTATTAAGATAATTTCCAGATTGTGAACCTGACGAAAGATGAAAGACATTAAAATAGTCACAGTCTCTGAAGATTCTTACCCCAATGTGTTAGACACACAGCCTCTGTAATCTGCACTTGCCTTACTCACTCAAATCTATTAATATCTTCTCTGGGGTCACTATGCATTGTGATTGTCAATTTCAAGGGCAAGGATTGAGATTAAATTTATTTAAGGTTTTATAAGGATCTCACTGTAGCAACACCCACCTGAGAAACTTATTCCAGAAACTTAAGAATTGGCATGAGCCAACAAATTAAAAATACTCCAAGTTTTTCTTTCATAGTACCTATTGAAGACAAGATTTCCATAGGCAAAATATGGTTCATGTCTCTGTTGTGAATGGAGGAAAGCCATAGGACATCCCACAAAACTTCAAGTCCAAGGAAGCAGGCTGCAGTTTGTCCCATCTTTCCCATGTAGACTGCTGGACTAAATTAACCATCAATAAATTCAAGAACATTTTCTGGAGGAGGCCTTGCTATTGTAGTATTGTGTCTGCTAAGAAGCTTTTTTATATCTCTTCCTTTACAGTACATTTAAATATTACATTCAATTATCATATACTAGCACCCTGAAACAACTGGCAAATAGATGAGGAGGAAACAAGTCATGACAACCCTGACAGAGGAGGCATCATCTGACAACTAGGGAGGCAGACTCCAGGAATTAGAATTATCACGAGTTGTATAAGTACCTCTATGGTTCAAGGACTATGAGTTGAAAGAAATATGACAAGGAAGAAGACACTTTGGCTATTATACAAATATTCTAGAACCTTATTGTTATTGATTGATTGTCTTTAATTATTGAGGCAGGGGTTAAAGTAAAAGATGTGTCAAAAAAAAAGAAACACACAAAGAAATTCGACACCGAAAACATTTGCTGTGTCACTCAGAGGGGCACAGGCTTCTCTCAATCCTTAGGAAAAAAATGGCTTCTTGCTTTCAAATAACATCTTCTTCCCCTGAATGACTTCCAGAAGCACAAAAGAAACCAGTAACTGTAAGTCCATCAGAGCTCCTGTTTTTGTTTGTTTGTTTGTTTTTTTATGCAGGAACTAGGGAACCACATAAGTGGCAGCTCAAATGGCTGAACCTGTACTGGGCCCTCAGGAGACTAGAGTAGGGGAGCTGGGCCTCCCAGAATGGTCCCCAGCAGAGTACCATGCTAGTACACAATCTTATTCAAAAGAAAATGCAAGGGGGCAACTAAAAGAGTCTGCTTAAAATCCTTACTTTTCTGTAAAAGTTGAATTTATTCTCTGAGAGTTCCACTATCCCTGAAATATATTTTATTCCACCTGGAGAGCAAACTTTTGGAGAGAAGTTGGACAAAGTATTTGATTACAGACCTTAAACCTTTGTGTCTGATGACTACATAAGTTCCTAGGGACCTCTAGGCTTTAACTATTTTAACTAACTAACTAGATAAATCAATAGTGCCTTGCTAGGAGGACTAGAGGATATAGCATGAAGCTTTTCAAGACTGTTCTCATGACCTTCAACAAATGAGCTACGACATACTCAGGATAGGAAATAAGCTTTAATCAAAAGAAGGCCACTAAGGGCTTCCCTGGTGGCGCAGTGGTTGAGAGTCCGCCTGCTGATGCAGGGGACACGGGTTCGTGCCCAGGTCCGGGAAGATCCCACATGTCACGGAGCAGCTGGGCCCGTGAGCCATGGCCGCTGAGCCTGTGCGTCCGGAGCCTGTGCTCACAATGGGAGAGGCCACAACAGTGAGAGGCCTGCATACCGCAAAAAAAAAAAAAAAAAAAAAAAGTTTTAGGGAATTCCCTTGTGGTCCAGTGGTTAGGACTGCATATTTTCACTGCTGAAGGGCCCGGGTTCAATCCCTGGTTGGGGAACTAAGATCCCTCAAGCCATGCGGTGCAGGCAAAAAAAAAAAAGTTTTAATATGTGAAAAATGAGAAGTATATAAAATTACTGGAAAGTCAATATATTGAGAGCTAACTCAACCAAATTGTAGTGGTACTTGCTTTATTTCTGAAATCATTAAAACAGCCATCTTCAGAAACATGCTGTAGCGTGGCTTTATTAAGTTTACAAATTTGGAGAGTTTTCCAAAAGTTCTGAAGTAACTAGGGAAGTCCTAGCCAAGCAAGCTCTAGTTTATGCATTAAGTATTAAACTGTATCATCACAGGAAGCTCACTCAATTAATTTGAAAACGTTTTGTTTTTAATTGCTAGATTGACAATTAGGATTAGTATTCTTATTTTTTGTTTTCACTATAATGAAAAGGGAAGGAAAGTACTGAATTTTTGGGGTCTAAAGTCAGAAGACCAGGGTTAGAATCTCCACTCTGCTACTTTACAGGTCGGTGGAGTAATAAGCAAATATCGTTTCTGGGGCTCAGTTTTTTCCTCTGCAGATAGCATATGATAAAAGTCAGGATTTGCTGGGGAATTTTTTCTTTTCCCAGAGAATCAAATGAGATAGTATATGCAAAAGTACTATGTAACTTGTGAAGTGCTATATTGGTGTATTTTCCTTTAGAACTCAGTTTTTCTTGTAGAGTAGAGGATTTGTTGTATTGGAGTTGGTAGCTTGAGATAGCGTGCAGCAACTGCAAATTTTGCTCTTTTTTGTATGAGATAATATACAAAACCTGCATGTTTTCTTTTGCTTTTACAACCTTGAGGTGCTTATGTATACAAGGCATAGCAGTGTCACAGAGGAAATCACATCTTATTTCCTGGGTTGGAGGTTATTGAATGAGTTGTTAGATACGCCTTCCTTCTTCAAGTTTTACTTAAAGAGATATGAAAAGTATTTAGTGTTCAATATTAGGCTTCTGTAAGGTTTTTTCTCAAAATTTAAAGTAAAAACACTCTTTTCCAAGTAGTAAATATACTCATGTTCATTTATTCATCCAAACAAATAGTGATCACTTGCTATATTCTAGGCATTGTGCTAGGATGACTTAATAAGGTTTATCCTTCTAAGGGCTTTATAGTGTAGCAGGATCTATGGACTTTTTTTTTTTCCCCTCTAAATAGTTGTTCAGACTTCCCTAGTGGTCCAGTGGTTAAGACTCTGTGCTCCCAATGCAGGGGGCCCAGCTTCGATCCCTGGTCAGGGAACTAGATCCTTCATGCTGCATCTAAGAGCTGGCACAGCCAAATAAATAAAAACAGTAAAATAAATATTAAACAGCTGTTCACTAGGTTGATAAGTTAGACACCATCATTGGGTACCTGATTATGAAATTCCAAACCTGTTCTGAGAATCACCTCTTATTCCTGTTTCTAAATGCACAGAAAATGAAGTAAAATCTGAAAGTGTCTTAAGCATTTTTTTGTTTCGTGCAGCTCAGAGTTTTGTTTTATTTTTTAAATCTTTATTGGAGTATAATTGCTTTGCAATGATGTGTTAGTTTCTGCTGTACAACAAAGTCCATCAGCTATATGTATGTGTATATCCCCATGTCCCCTCCCTCTTGAGCCTCCCTCCCACCCTCCCAATCTCACCCCTCTAGGTCTTCACAACGCATCAAGCTGATCTCCCTGTGCTATGCAGCAGCTTCCCACTAGCCAGCCATTTTACATTTGGTAGTGTATATATGTCACTGCTACTCACTCACTTCGTCCCAGCTTCCGCTTCCCACCCTGTGTCTTCAAAGTCCATTCTCTACGTCTGTGTCTTCATTCCTGCCCTGCCACTAGGTTCATCAGTACTGTTTTTTTAGATTCCATCTATGTGCGTTAGCATATGGTATTTATTTTTCTCTTTCTGACTTACTTCACTCTGTATGACAGGCTCTAAGTCCATCCATCTCGTTACAAATAACTCAGTTTTGTTCCTTTTTATGGCTGAGTAATATTCCATTGTATATATGTGCCACATCTTCTTTATCCATTCATCTGTCGATGGACATTTAGGTTGCTTCCATGTCCTGGCTATTGTAAATAGTGCTGCAATGAACATTGTGGTACATGCCTCTTTTTGAATTATTGTTTTCTCAGGGTATGTGCCCAGTAGTGGGATTGCTGGGTCATATGGTAGTTCTATTTTTAGTTTTTTAAGGAACCTCCATACTGTTCTCCATAATGGCTATATCAATTTACATTCCCAACAGCAGTGCAGGAAGGTTCCCTTTTCTCCACACCCTCTCCAGCATTTATTGTTTGTAGATTTTTTTGGTGATGGCTATTCTGACTGGTGTGAGGTGATACCTCATTGTGATGTTGATTTGCGCTTCTCTAATGATTAGTGATGTTGAGCATCTTTTCATGTGTTTGTTGGCAATCTGTATATCTTCTTTGGAGAAATGTCTATTTAGGTCTTCCACCCATTTTTGGATTGGGTTGTTTGTTTTTTGATACTGAGCTGTATGAGCTGCTTCTGTATTTTGGAGATTAATCCTTTGTCAGTTGCTTTGTTTGCAAATATTTTCTCCCATTCTGAGGGTTGTCTTTTTGTCTTGTTTATGGTTTCCTTTGCTGTACAAAAGCTTTTAAGTTTCATTAGGTCCCATTTGTTTATTTTTGTTTTTATTTCCATTACTCTAGGAGGCTTTTTCTTTTCATTTTTTTCTTCTGTGTGTTTTTTTTAAATTATATAAGTTATAGGTGTACAATACAGTGCTTCACAATTTTTAAAGCTTTTGTTTGGTTTATAGTTACTATAAAATATTGACTATATTCCCTGTGTTATACAGTATATCATTGAGTTTATTTTATACCTGATAGTTTGTACCTCTTAATCCCTTACCCCTATATTTATATTGTTCCTACCTTCTTCCCTCTTCCCACTGGTAACCACTAGTATGTTCTTGTTCTTTGTGTGTCTACCTCTTTTTTGTAATATTCGCTAGTTTGTTGTATTTTTTAGATTCCACGTCTAAGTGATATCGTACAGTATTTGTCTTTCTCTGTCTTATTTCACTTTGTTTTTTATTAAACAAATATTATATATACTGCCAAACACCTCAGTGCTTTACAAATATTAGTTCATTTAATCCTCATAACAACCTTAGGTAGGAACAATTATTATTACCCTTTTACAGGTGAAGAGAACAGACACAGATAAGTAACTTGATCATGTCACACAACTAGAAAGTGGAATTTCTAGTTAGAATCCCAGGAGTCTGGTTCCATAGTTCATGCTCTTTTTTTTTTTTTTCCATAGTTCATGCTCTTGATCACTAAACTTGACTGCTGGAAGACATGTGATTAGCTAGTTATGATTCTTAGACATATAAATAGCTAATTCTAATGAAAAGTAAATGTTAAACTGTTGTGTGAAGTGGCTGTTGTAATTGATCGTTGAGGTTGATTTATTCATTCATGTAGTCAGACATTTCATTTCAACAGACATTAATTAGCCTGTTGTATACAAGGCACTGTGCTAAGTGTAAAGAGTATGCAGTGGTTAAGGGCAGAGATGATGTATTGTATTGTGGATGTAAATTGAATTTCTGCCATTAAGAGGCATTTTTAGTGATTCAGAACTTCTTTCTAGAGGTGTGGTATATAAGATGCATAGTGGTGACATACAAATATATTAAAATACTGTTTTTATAGTTGAGTTAAAGAATTGTAATTTTTAAATTAGTGCTTAGCAAAATATGGAATTGGATTGATTCCTCACCAGTGAGCTTAAGGAAAAGATTGTTATCCTTGTTTCATTTATTCAGATTTTTGAAGCTTTAGTGAGCCTGACACCTTTTCAGCAACAGCCTGAACTGCTTTGCAAGGGCAGTAATTGAGCAAGGGTCAGAGGAGCAGATATATTCTGAGCCACATGGCTCATCTCCCTGCATTAGTTCCCCTGGGTAGTTATGGGAAGGTGGGGGAGCTGGGGGGCTGGGCAGGAGTACTTCCATTTAGGCTCTGGGTATTTTTTTCCCCTAGAAATCTGTGCTAAGAGATGGTAACCTACTTCATCTATGCAAAACGACCTTTCCCAATATGGTTAGGTGAAGAATAGAGAATTGGAAGGGTGAAAAGTTGGACCTAGAGGTGTGGTGCTGCATTGCATAGAAGGGAGCATGAAGCTCTCTGCCCTCAGTATTCTGCTTTTCTTTGGCATGGATTTAATTGGGCAACAGTGGGTAATACTGGTTTTTTAAGGTAACAGGTATGCCTGTATAAAGTATTAGTGGGTTTCAGTATTCATCTTAGAATATATTTTTAAGAGGTCATGATTTGCTGACATAAATGCAAAGTTCACTTTTGGGAGCTTTTGGTAATTACACTGATCTTAACAAGATTTTATTAAGTTTAATGTTGATAGGATATCTTGAAGAAAACTTTAAAAATCCTTAGTATAATTTGCATCTTTAAGTTCTACTTTTATTTTAAGAGTGTTATTTTTTTAAAGGTGTCCTTCCTAAGGCATATCCTGATAATCATCTCAGTCAGGTGGATGTAAATGAATTGTTTTCAAAACTGCTAAAAACAGGAATTCTCAAATTGTCCCAGCCTGATTCAGCTACAACACGTAAGTCATGCTTCTGTAATTCATCTACACAAAGCTTTATTAAGTTATAAAGATGTATGATATGATACAATGATATGTTCTATGCTAAAATTTCTTACAATGTTGAATTCTTAGGTATACTTATATAACTGGTTTATAATGAAATAAAAAAAAATTTTCTAACAAGGAACTGTTACCCTTATAGTGGACATTGTTTCAGTTAACTAACATTCCTGCAAACACCATGTGCAGACTTTTTCTAGTTATTCTGTATTATTTTAGCTTATAAAAAATAATTAGAATGTTGATGAATTTCATGAAGATTGACTTTTAAGAGACCAGACCTAATAGCACTTATCAAAATAAAGAATTGTATTAGGTTCCTTGGCCAGTAAACCTAAGATCAGGAGCACTGAATAGGCAAGATGGGGCTCTCTATATGCTTCTTAACACTATAGTGTTCCCCTATAAAGAATACATGGACCCTGGTTTTGAGATATTTGTTGTGTTTCTTTTCAATTGAAGAAGTAAATGAAGTTGCTGCTCAGCCCCCTGCTGAGGAGGAAGAAGATCAAAATGAAGATCAAGACGTTCCAGATCTTACCAATTTTACAATTGAAGAATTGAAACAGTATGTAATCTAATTTTCTAAGGTAAAAGGGACGGTGACTTTAATAACAGTGGATATTATCACTAGTGCTATTCATCTTACCCCTCACTGTTTTTAAAATTTAGGAAGGCTGTTTTCCCTTTTTTTTTTTTTTTCCTTTTTTTTTAACATCTTTATTGGAGTATAATTGCTTTACAGTGCTGTGTTAGTTTCTGTCTTATAACAAAGTGAATCAGCTATACATATACATACATACCCATATCTCCTCCCTCTTGCATCTCCCTCCCACTCTCCCTATCCCACCCCTCTAGGCGGTCACAAAGCACCGAGCGGATCTCCCTGTGCTATGTGGCTGCTTCCCGCTATCTGTTCTACATTTGGTAGTGTATATATGTCCATGCCACTCTCTCACCTCGTCTCAGCTTACCCCTCCCTCTCCCCATGTCCTCAAGTCCATTCTCTACTTTTGTGTCTTTATTCCTGTCCTGCCCCTAGGTTCTTCAGAACCATTTTTTTTTTTAAGATTCCATATATATGTGTTAGCAAACAGTATTTGTTTTTCTCTTTCTGACTTACTTCACTCTGTATGACAGATTCTAGGTCCATCCACCTCACTACAAATAACTCAATTTCCTTTCCTTTTATGGCTGAGTAATATTCCATTGTATATATGTGCCACATCTTCTTTATTCATTCATCTGTTGATGGACACTTAGGTTGTTTCCATGTCCTGGCTATTGTAAATAGTGCTGCAATGAACACTGTGGTACATGACACTTTTTGAATTATTATTTTCTCAGGATATATACCCAGTAGTGGGACTCCTGGGTCATATGGTAGTTCTACTTTCAGTTTTCTAAGGAACCTCCATATTGTTCTCCACAGTGGCTGTATCAGTTTACATTCCCACCAACAGGGTAGGAGGGTTCCCTTTTCTCCACATCCTCTCCAGCATTTATTGTCTGTAGATTTTTTGATGATGGCCATTCTGACTGGTGTGAGGTGATACCTCATTGTAGTTTTTATTTACATTTCTCTAATGATTAGTGGTGTTGAGCATCCTTTCATGTGTTTGTTGGCAATCTGTATATCTTCTTTGGAGAAATGTCTATTTAGGTCTTCTGCCCATTTTTGGATTGGGTTGTTTCCTATTATGAGGGTTGTCTTTCCATCTTCTTTATGGCTTCCTTTGCTGTGCAAAAGCTTTTAAGTTTTATTAGGTCCCATTTGTTTATTTTTGCCTTTATTTCCATTTCTCTAGGAGGTGGGTCAAAAAGGATCTTGCTGTGATTTATGTTATAGAGTGCTCTGCCTAGGTTTTCCTCTAAGCTTTTGATAGTGTCTGGCCTTACATTTAGGTCTTTAATCCATTTTGAGTTTATTTTTGTGTATGGTGTTGGGAGTGTTCTAATTTCATTCTTTTATGTAGCTGTCCAGTTTTCCCAGCACCACTTATTGAAGAGGCTGTCTTTTCTCCATTGTATTCTCTTGCCTCCTTTATCAATGAAAAGGTGACCATATGTGTGTGGGTTCATCTCGGGGCTTTCTATCCTGTTCCATTGATCTATATTTCTGTGTTTGTACCAGTGCCATACTGTCTTGATTACTGTAGTTTTGTATTATAGTCTGAAGTCTGGGAGCCGGATTCCTTCAGCTCCATTTTTCTTTCTCAAGATTGCTTTGGCTATTCAGGGTCTTTTGTGTTTCCATACAAATTGTGAAATGTTTTCTTCTAGTTCTGTGAAAAATGTCATTGGTAGTTTGATAGGGATTGCATTGAATCTGTAGATTGCTTTGGGTAGTATAGTCATTTTCACAATGTTGATTCTTCCAACCCAAGAACATGGTATATCTCGCCATCTGTTGGTATCATCTTTTTTAATGTGGTAAAATATACATAACATAAACTTAAGCAAGCCTGTTATCTTCTTTTCAAATATGTTTGCTGCACAAGTATTTAGGCCAAAAGTCTACCCCCAGATTTCTGTTTTTTATTATCTCTGTTTAGTATAGCAAGTTTAGGGAGTTTAAGGATTAGGTATTAGTAATCACTCATGTTTTCCTTTTTATCTCTATTTTCTCTTAATCATCACTGTTTTTTCTGTATTGATATTCTCATGCCTTTGAAGTTAAGAAAATGAGGTTTTTGTAGTCTAGTATTTAAAAAATAAAAATTTTTTTCATTTTATAGAAAATACAAATGAATAAAATCAAGAAAATAAAATTACCTACAATTTCCACTTTACTGATAACCAGTATTAACATTTGGTGCATATATTTTCATAAATTTTTATTGCCTATATTATATAAAAAACATCTATAGTTGCTTTATGGATCCATTATATTGTTATGAGTACTTTTAAAAATAATAGAACAGCTAATGGGTTTCATCTTTTTTTTTAATTGAAGTATAATTTATTTACAATGTGTTAGTTTCAGGTGTACAGCAAAGTGATTGTTTTATATATATATATAATATATATAAATATATACTTTTTCAGATTCTTTTATTATAAAACACTGAGTGTAGTCTCCTGTGCTATACGGGTTTCACCCTTTTAAAGACAATGTTTTTCAAAGTGATACTTTTCACATAGTTAAAACTTTATAATGAAAGTCTTACAGTAAAGGCTTATAATAAAAGATGGCATGCCTTTTTCCTAGTACTACTTTTTACCTGAAGGCAACCATTTCTTAACTCTTTTATCTATGGTTCTTGGCATTTACTTTCTTATTTCTTAAAAGATATGTAGTTTTCTGGGCTTCCCTGGTGGCACGGTGGTTGAGAGTCTTCCTGC